CTATTAAATCAATTAAAGTTTAAAAAACGATAATGAATTTTATTTGTAATTCTTTTGGTATATATACATTTATATAATTATCCAATTTAACTTCTAATAATATGCAATTTGGATTAACCTCGATAATTTAATATTACATGTCGGAAAGTTATAATATAATATACTAATAACGTCCTTTTAAAAATATATAACGTGATATTTTAAAATATATCTTAACCTTTACAATAATAAATATTCAGATGATGTAACAACTTCTTCCACATATTCTGTTTTATTATTATTAAAATATAAATAATCATTTTTATTTTACAATAAAATAAATGAAACCCGTTTGTCACAACGACAAGATTTGTCATTGTGCATCAAAACCTAAATATAAAAATAGAAAACAAATATATATATATAAAAGGAAATTAATAATAATTAGGAATTACGAAATCATAAAATCAACTTTAATTCTTTATTCAAAATTATAATAGTAAACATCATAAAAGAATAAAATAAAATTAAAAAATTAAAAGTAAATTTTAGTTAAAATAATAATCCTTTTTCGCATCATAATTTCTCCATTATATATCCTTTTTCTTTAATCAACATTTACATAGTCTCACTAGCGAAGAATAAAAAGTTCTACATCCCACTTGTTAAAACTGTTAAAGTATGAAAAAATCTACAAATCTCACGCGTTTTTTTCTCATTTACATAGACGGGGATATTTTAATAAAACATTATTTTTGTTTACGATTTGCATAATGCATTTTTTTGTAAAGTAAAACTGCAACACCCTTCCACTTAAGTTAGACCCACCAATCTGCGAATAATCAATCTTCTTTCGATCTCGACTTATTCTTCTTAATTTTTGCTGTCTTCTAAGTTATAAGGAAGGCTTTGTCGCTTGAAATTTTTGAATTCTATCTGTCGCTTGTCACCCTGTGAAACGATCAGCTTTTTATCGCTGTAAGCCACTGACGAACTTGATACACGCCTGTTTTCCACTATCCACGATTGATAACGATTATCGATGACATCCAGTTTCATCGTAGCTTGTTTTCTATCATTCTCTTGTAATCCACGATTAGCTTTTTATCTCGATAAACGATTGGTCTGCGATAAACGATGGTTTTCACGAATTCTTGTTCCTATGATTGTCGATTTCCGTATCTTAGACTCAAGTCTCGATAATAATTGGCTGTTATTGATCCGCGATTAACTATTGTAGCATAACGTCTTAACCCTCTTTTCTATCAATTTGCTTGTTTTCCCCCTTTCTCTTGTAATTGATTGGTTGTTGCCTCTAATTCTTGTAATCGTATCTATCTTTCAGACTTTCGGGTCTTCTACGACAGTTTGCCCTTGCTGAGATATCGGGTAATCACATCTAATCTACTTCTACCTGAAATAATCTATTTACATATCTACATTTATCTCCTCTAAACTAATTCTGCCTTTAATAAATGGCGTAAATTATACTAAATCTTAAATTTTATAATACGTAGCAAAATATAATAAATTATATAAATATATCACCTTCTATCACCCCTTTCCCCTTAATGAAGCCTAGACCCATATTTCCATTGAAAAATATACTTGTACTCATCCTTTAGCTATTGATCCTATCTTCTTTTCAGCCATGTCTATCCTAAATTTATATCTAAAAATACTATTCTACTATATATCAAAATCTTTCTTTTACTCAAGTTTTTTTTTTTTAAAAAAAAACTGCTGAAATATATAAATCTCTTTTCATACATACGTTGTTGAGAAATCAATGACATCTAATCATATAAGTTTTCATACTTACGTTTATGCTCTTAACTCTAATCACTATGGTTTTCACCCCACGTCTTTGAAGAACTTATGAAATCTAATCATTATAATTTTTCGCACAACCGTTGTTGAAAACTGATATGTATATTTCTAAAGCATGTTTTTCTTTCTGTTATTATTAGAATAATGTTGCATAATTGTCTCAAATCTTATTTATGATTCAAAAAAATAAAAATCCGATCTCAAATTGAGCTCGATTGCGGCATAAATTTTCTAATGACGAAAAGCCGATTCTCTCTATGAAGATTTTTTGGTTAATCTACAACCTAATATACTAATTCACATTAATCCTTGAGACTGTTTTATCTCTCGCAGCCCTTAAAATAAAAGTTAAACGTAAATCTTCAATAAGAATTTAATCAACTATTTCCTAACAATAAAGTTATATTCTAATCTTATTCACCGAATTTTTTAATTATTATATCTCAGCAACCTATTAGTTAAATATTAACTTTCGCAATTTATGTTTCTATTTCTTTGTCAAAGTTATTTCTAGTGATCACTTGATAATAATTCTAAAATCTAAAATATCATAGTCTTTATTAGTTTCAAAATTCCATTGGTTTTTAGTTTACCAGTAACTCCTAAATATAAAATTCCTAATTATCACCTTTAAATAACTAAACACAATTATCTCTATCTACTATGAATGTTACCTTTGTCTTTAATTTTAGATTTTATATCCTACATAAACATAATCTTAACAACATAATATTTCCTTTTCATCTTTATTTATATATTTTTCTTACGTTCTTCTGGAATTTTTTTTTTTTTGTATTAGAATACAGTTTGACACCTCTCCTTGTTGTCCCACCGGTCCCAGACTGAAGGTTGTAAAGGGCCGGTCTCCTCCGCTCTTCGGCACCACTGTCACAACGACAAGATTGTCATTGTGCATCACAACCTAAATATAAAAATAGAAAACAAATATATATATATAAAAGGAAATTAATAATAATTAGGAATTACGAAATCATAAAATCAACTTTAATTCTTTATTCAAAATTATAATAGTAAAAATCATAAAACAATAAAATAAAATTAAATTAAAAGTAAATTTTAGTTAAAATAATAATTCCTTTTCGCCTCATAATTTCTCCATTATATATCCTTTTTCTTTAATCAACATTTACATAGTCTCACTAGCGAAGAATAAAAAGTTCTACATCCCACTTGTTAAAACTGTTAAAGTATGAAAAAATCTACAAATCTCACGCGTTTTTTTCTCATTTACATAGACGGGGATATTTTAATAAAACATTATTTTTGTTTACGATTTGCATAATGCATTTTTTTGTAAAGTAAAACTGCAACACCGTTAATGGTAAAAAACTATATTGCCATCTAGAAATGAATTATATATATTATAGATACATATTAAAAATTATACACTTTATATTTTATTTTAAAATTTACTTTCTTTTAGGCAAGTCATATTAACTTGAAGAAAGAAAAAAAAATAGATTTTAACAATAATATTTAAAAAAATATAGCTTACTAGGAGTAGGGCTGCAAAAGATCATTTTACCTAAACAAAGTTTTATGATTAATAGATATTATATTGAGTTATTTTTTGATTTCTACGCTGCATATTCCTGTATTCACAGTTAGCAAGGATTTTGGGACGAAGTTTACAAAAAATACAGCATATTTTGTAAATTTAGCTATGAATTCGAATGAATAACAATCAGTGGCGTAGCTAGGAATTTTCCTTAGAGGGGGTCCATATATAAGCTGGGGGCGAAGCCCCCAGGCCCCTTTACGGGCCTTCGGCCTTTTGCCCGGCCTTCGGCCGGGTTTATCTTAAAAATCATATTGGTTTTTCTTATAATATAAAAGTCCTAGAATTATTAATTATTTTAATTAGTGTTGTTAAACGGCTCGACTTGAGTTGATTTTTATAAACAGCTAACTCAATATTTTTGCCAAAAAATATTGTTCAAGCCTAGAGATTTCTCGAATAATATAAAACTTGTATCTCCATGAGCAAAATTTTCTGGCTAATATATTGAGTTAGCCATATCGGCTAAAATTGAGCCACTAATTTTAATTAAAATAACACATTGACACAATTTTATTGATATACGTTTCATTTTATTATACTTTTAGAAGTTATTTACAAATAAAAAGCGATTATTTAAAATATAAATATTAATAAATATTATATTGCTTTAATTATAAATATTATATTGCTTTAATTATAAATATTATATTGCTTTAATTATAAATATTATATTGCCTTAATTATAAATATTAGTAGTACACATATAAATTGCTTTAATTATAAATATTATATTGCCTTAATTATAAATGATATATTTTATCATTAGTAAACACATTAAAACTATAGATTAAAAAATAAATGTTTTTTTTAAACTGTAAATTTAAGTCGATATCCTTCAAAGTGAAAAAATCAAAATTGTGTTGGCAATATTTTTTTACCAATATATGATAGATGTTTAAAATTAATATTGAGAAACCTAGGCTAATAATCATAGATGCCATGTTAGCTTTGGAACCAACTTTTGATTATTATAAGTATAAAGTAATAGACTATATCACTTGTAGTAGGTGATGGTTCTAAATGATCTAGTATAATTGGTTGTCTATTATCCTTTAGTTTTCTGGAGTATGTGGGAATTGCTAAGATTTTAAATAAATATAATTTAAATAAGACTAATACCTGACATGAGTGGAACTTCATTTCCATTTAAATTCTCCCTAGATTTTTTATATATCTAAAATTTTAATGTAAATATTAATAAGTAATTGATTACATTACATTTATTAGATAGTGATTTGTTGTGACTTAGTGTATTTTTTTGTTTGTTATCACTATTTTTTTTACCCCTTGGTGTGAATATTAATTGAGATATTCCTATAAAAATAAATTAAAATAAAACAACATATTAGATAACCTTTAAATTCTAAATTGATACAGCCTATAATATTTTGTTGACTACTATCATTCTTCTTCAATGTGATACTTGATATACCTAAAATTATGATATAAATATTTAAAGGTAATAGTTAACATTACTTTTACTAGGTAGAGATTTGAAGTGATCAAGTGTATTTAGCTTATTTTTATCATAGTTTTTTATAGAGTATCTAGGTATTTCTAAAATTTAAATGAATACATTTAAATAAGGTCATATAAGTTCATAAAATACCTGAGGTGAGTGGTAAATTGTTGCTTATGGTATCAAGTTCATCATTAAAATTCTGATTTTCTATATTAATTGGTGATTCATTTAAATAAGGTCATTATAAAATACCTGATGTGGGTGGTAAATTGTTGCTTATGGTATCAAGTTCATCATTAAAATTTTGATTTTCTATATTAATTAGTGATTCATTTAAATAAGGTCATTATAAAATACCTGATGTGGGTGGTAAATTGTTGCTTATGATATCAAGTTCATCATTAAAATTTTGATTTTCTATATTAATTAGTGATTTGGTATGTTCATTTTGTTGACTATCATCATTTTTATTAAATGTAATACTTTATATATCTAAATCTATAATAAAAAATATTTAAATCTTAATAGATTATATTACTTGTACTAGGTAGTGATTTTATATGGTCTTTGGGTATATAAATGAGTGTATCAAGATCATTTTCTTCCCTCCTACGTTTGGGTATATCTTATAAATGTCAAAATATTTTGGTTAGCCAAAATTATTTAAAATAATAAATTACCCAAAGTGGTTTGTACTGGCAATTTTAATTTAGTTAAAACTATGACTAGGTGTTTAATTTTAAATTCTAAAATAAAAATAGTTAGCTATTAATTTTAAATATCTTTTATATTAAATGTTATTTTGACCTGGTGTATTTACATCATCCTTATTATTTTCAATAGAGCCTATAATGCATAAGATATTAATTAGTACACTGGATTAAATATTTTTTAACCTCGTGTATTTATATCATGCTTATCATTTTCAACAGGGCATAAATTGCATGAGATATTAGCTGGTAAATTTTTTTTGTTACTTAGTAAATATTTTCTAATGTCCATTTCCTTCAATCTTAAAGTTCGTAAATAGGAAATAACAATCTTTACTTTTTAGTCATAAATTTAATCTCTTTAATAATTTCATTTATAAAAATGCTACAAAATATAAACCAAATATATATTATTAGAAATAAAAGCAGAGAAAGTAGATTATGCACTATTTTCATATTATTATTTTCGAACCATATCTTCGATAAATTATAATAAATATTTTTTTAAATATGCATAAATAATATATTATTATATTTTATTAGATTATTATCAATGACTTTAAAATAATATACAGAATAATTTATATATATATATATAAGTAATAATATCCTTCCACAAACATCAAAACCAGAAAAATATAAATATTCATGGTATTTATTTGATATAAAGTCACTTTTGAGTCTTTTGAACGAATAATCTAAAAAAATTGCTCTGAGGGGGGGGGGGGGGGGTAGATTATGCACTTTTTTATTTCATATTATTATTTTCGAACCATATCTTGGATAATTTATAATAAATATTTTTTTAAATATGCATAAATAATATATTATTATAATTTATTAGATTATTATCAATGACTTTAAAATAATATACAGAATAATTTATATATATATAAAAGTAATAATATCCTTCCACAAACATCAAAACCAGAAAAATATAAATATTCATGGTATTTATTTGATATAAAGTCACTTTTGAGTCTTTTAAACGAATATTCTAAAAAAAAAAAATTAATTGCTCTGGGGGGGGTCCAAACCCGAAACCCCCCCCCCCCCGTAGCTACGCCACTGATAACAATGAAAGCGGCTAGCAAAATTTATTATGTTAGGATAACTTAGATGAATATAGAGCTATACTCTTTTAAACGTTGTTAAAAATCTTTTTTTTTACTTTATAGAGCATATACGTTAATAAGGAAAAATTTTAATTTATAATAGCTATAATAACTAGCCTGAGCGCTTGTTGATAATTAGTTCTAATATACAATATTTAATCGCATTATTAGGGTATAATTATATACAATAGTCGTATTTAAATTAGCGTTTAATCCCGCCAGAAGGATTTATTTTAAAGAAGAAAGTTAATTCATTTGTTTTTTTTGGTCATGGCTAACATTAAGAGCACCATTACCCCTTGTCTCCTTAGAAAACATTTTTAATTTACAAAATAATAATTTAAAAAAATAAGCCTAAGTTTATATAAAAAAGAGACCAAATTTTACGCGTATTTTCTAATAAACATTCCTATTCTGCGCTAGAAAATGAAGGATAGTGTGTGTGTGGGGTGTAATACGTGTCAGCTGGACCTGTAGGATGATATTTATTAGCGTAAAATTGAAAGTATACGCCGATTTGGGAGGCCATTTTTTATGTATATCTGTTAATATTTTCTAAAAAATATGGTTTATTAAAATTGTATGGTGATATTTTTTTAAACTTAAAAAAAAACTGGGTAAGAAGAAGAAGAAGAGGAACAAAACGTTTCAAATTCTAGAGGAACTATAACGGAAATAAAAATGATGTTAATTTAAGGGGGTCCTCTCTGCTGAATACCTTTATGAAAAAGCCAGATTTGAGTCTATTTTATGAAAATGGTCAGTTAAGATTATTAGCTAAAACATAATATTATGCAAGGGTGAAGATTTAGGCTTGCATAATATTATTTTAGAGAAAATCTTAATGGGGCTTTTTAACAACGCTAAATTAACCAAATAAATATCATTATGTTCTTACTATATAGGTAAATATATATATATATATAATAATGATATAATATATACTTTAAGATTCCTCAACTGATGAAATGATAAAACAAAAGGGTAAGAATATTTTTAGTAAATTATTAGCAAAAGTTATACTTAGATATTATTAAAAAAAATTACTTTTAATTCTACAGCCGAGTATACTATAAATCAAAACTGATGAAAATGTCAATAAATTTCTGATCATATTTTTTTCTAATATTTTATTCCAAAAAAAAAAAATTTAAATTCTTTAACAAAAATGAAAAAACGGATAAAATTGAAGATTTTCGGAAAGTTATAATTATATGTTATTTGCTTATATTTTTTTCATAAAATTTCAGAGGTAAAAAGAGGTGAATGTATTTTATCTAATATATCATTAGACGAAGTTGATTTCTAATGAAAGAAAAGAAACAAATTAATTAAAATTTTGTTTAACTGGCTTTATAGTTTAACCTATAAATATGATTTTTACCATTTACTATAAAATTTTTAATTTTTAACTTGTTATTGAGTAATGATTTTACTAGCTCCAGAGAGGTAAGTGTTCGTGTACCTTAGAATATAATTATGTTGGTTTAAGTTTGAAATACAATATTTTCGTATAGGCCCCTTATCTTTGCTAGCAATTAAAATTTCCGATATTAGCGTATTTATATTTTGTAAACAATATAAATTGATGTTAATGTCTTAGAAAATATTGGCGCCTTTTATTACGCGCCAATTTTCAAGTTTTATCCCTGATTTTTTAAATTTTTAAGGCATATATTTTTAACCCCCTCTCCGCGTATTTTTATATTTTACTCCTCGCTATAGAAATTTTTTAAAATATAATTTTTCGATAATTTTTAAAATGATTTTGAAACTGTATATTTTTTGTAAATTGTTTCAAAAAAGAGAAATTGATACAAGTAAAATTAATGAATATAAAATATTATTATTTAAAATGATTTTCCAACTAGTTAACCCACATACAGGGTTTCCCATTCAAAAATGGAAAAGTGTCAAACAAAATATGAAATGTTTTAATCAAAAAAGTAAAAAGTCCCAATCAAAAAAGGAAAAGGGTCAATCTTAAAAGAAAAAAGTTCGATCAATAAAGGAAAAGGGTCAATCAAAAATAGAAAATTCCCAATCAAATAAAGAAAATTTATTTTTTAAATTTTTATTTTTCTTATTTTGGGTTTTTAAAAATAATTTTATTATTATTTTTTTTTTTTAAAAGAATATCAAAATGTTTATATTTTATTAATTTTACATATCGTTTGGTATTATAGTTCAAACTTATTTAATTTTAAAAAGCTACATTAGGTTGTGTCCTAAATATCAAAAATATATTTCGTATACTTCCGTAACTTGAACGAAAGAAGAAATAAGCTATTTTTAATATAAAAATAAAATCGAATAAACATAATTTTAGAAAATTTCAAAATTTTAACATACGATTTTTCAAAGTTTTATTTTGCGAACAGCCTTATAACCAAACGATAACGATTAATTTAATTCAGCAATTGTAATTTAAATAATTTGAATATGTAAAAAAATTATAATATAAATAAATTGTCTGCCAAAAATTTAGTGAAAAATTAAATATAATTCCTAAAAAAAGAATTATCGAAAATGAAAAAAAAAAATTGAGAAAAGATCAGAAAAATAAAGATTAAAAATAACTTAAAGAGATTTGAAAAGGTTAAAAATGTATGTAAAATTTAAAGTAGTGATCTGCATCGGGCCCAATTTTTCAAACCCGGCCAGAACCCGAATTATTTTTAAAAAAATTTACCCACCCGGCCCGGCCGGAATTTATTTAAATATAGAAATTAATTTTTAAATTACTCAAGACATATGTTATATGTCGTTTAATATTCAATAAATAAAATCAAATATTTATATTTTACATAAAAAATCCAATATAAAATTGATAAATTTTAAGATTTATTTAAAAAAAAATTCCAAGGTCCGACTCGACACAGCCCGAATTTTTTTTAAAAATATTAGGGCCCGGCCTGAACCCTTATAGTATAAATAGAATTAGGCCCAGGGCCTTGCCCGAAGCCCGTTCGGGCCGGGCCGGACTCGGGCCGGGTTCGGGCCGGGCCTAACTTTACAGATCTCTGATTTAAAGATTACAATATAAGGAGAAAAAATGATAAAAAGTCAAAATATTGTTATTGTAGGATGAAAAAAGAGGGAAGAATTGTTGAAAAATGACATAAAAAATCGAGTAGAAGAAGTGAAGAAAAATAAGAAAAATTTATAAATTATATTTAAAAAAGACAAAAAGAATTATTAAAAATGAGAAGAAAAATAAATTGAGAAAAGATATAGTAAGAAAAATAAAAATTATTAGAAAAAAATAAATAAAAAATTTGAATAGGAATTTTCCTTTTTTTTCCTTTCCTTTTGGGAATTTTATTGACATTTTTCCTTTTTATGATAGAAACTTTTTCTTTTTTTGATTGTGACTTTTCCTTTTTTTATGAATGGGAAACCCTGTAATTTAAATTTTTTTTTCTTAGGAAATTCGGATAGGACCTTGTTTTTTTTAAAAAAACAAATTTCAGCCAAATAAACACGTTTTTTTTTTCAATTAGCTGGAAATATAAAAAAAGGAGCTGTTTAGCACGAAATTTATTTCTTCATATTCTCGATTCCCGTTTATATAATTGTTTTTTATATCCGAGAATTCGTGAAAATTAGTCGCGTGTTGATCGTTTCATTTTCATATCGCATTCTTCCACTCCATCTCGT